GTCTGAACAGGTCTAGATTCTCCCCTAGGTCGATTGTGTAAAAACATTGCCACTGGGGAGACAAAGGCGGCTGGGCGTGGTGCTGGCCACCCACCCCCTCGTGTGCCGTGCCGGTCTTCATAGGTGCTGCTCGCTAACAGCACTTGCCCCAACAGTCTGTCCAGGCTATGCCATACGGGAGATCTTTGTCTTTGTATGTATGTGCATGTGACCAGATCTGTATAACTTTCTTGACACCGGGCCACAATGTTTGGGTTGTATCTTACTTAGAATAAGGTGGTCACGTGCAAACGACTCTGGGCAACCAGCGGTCCCGGAAAATATTTCCAACACCTGGCACACCCCACCACATCCAGTATACCTCACGCTGTGGTCGTGGCTACGAGTAAACGTCACTGGCAGATGTCGTCTGTGCCAAAGAGGCTGAGATTAAGAACATGAGCCGGGTAAACAGCACGTTTGACCCCGTTTCGTTTGTGACACGTCTAGCCGTGCCTCGGGACAGCACTCAACAGTGAGTGACTCAACCCGAAAGCATCAAACCACTTTACTCCAAGAGCACAGACAAATACACCCCGTGTAGCCTTTCACGAAGAATGGGGCAAGTGCTGCGAAGAAAGCACCTACGAAGGCCGACACGGCACACTAGGGGGGACACGGGTGGTTAACACCATGCTCGGCCACCTGTGTCTCCCCAGTGCTGATGTTTACACAATGCACCAGGTACTAGTGAAAGGCTGAGTTGACCTAGAAGGGAGTCCAGGGATAGGTTCAAACACTGCTCTTCACTGATGTTGGCCATAGCTCGTAATTGAAACCAGGTTTGCTGGGTTTGCAGCACAGTGAGCCGAATCATTACATCGCTTTTTTGCAAAAGCACAGGGACACACACACACACGGACACATACGAGTACACAATTACATACTCAAACAGACATACCCATCTACAATTACACTCAGACACGCAGTAGTGTAATTTCACAAACGTGGTTCGCGAACGTTAATACCAGGCACACACACACACAAACGTACCAGACATGTGCACCATTGCTAGCTCATTATAAGGAGATCGAACCTCGGCTATGCAAGTGTCACACACAAGTCAGGTGTTCACTTTCAGAATAGTAGCTGGCCTACTTACAGCATCTCCATCGCCAAGTTACCCAGAATGCACCACATGCTTGTCAGACCTCGGAAGCTAAGTAGGCTTTGGGCCTGGGAAGTACAGGTTGTTACAGGCTGCATGGCTAAGCAGTAAGAAAGCAGATGGTAGGCAGCACAAACAAATGTTTTTTGGACTGTACCTCGACGCTCATGCTTACGTACGATCCTGCATTAACCCTCGCGATGGGCAAATTAGTGGGGTTTTTTTTACATGTACGGTTCGAACAGAAAAACAAAACGCACACGCATGAAGCACCACACCCAGGTAGTCACCTGGGAGAAGCTGTCCGTGTGTCATACCGCGCATGTGTCATAACGCGCGTCTGTGTCGTTCCGCACGGTGTCCAACAATTCGCTCCGCGTGCCGGAGAGCTCCAGCTGCACATGGAGCGAAAACGTCCGACATGTACGTGTGTATCTATGTTGAACTTCTTTTGCACCGTACGTAGCCAACCGTGCTACTCGGAGGTGCACGGGGGGGAGGGTCGGGGGGGGGAGAAAGGACAGCAAACTAAACACGCACAAAAAGCGTGGACAACGTGCCAAACGACGCGGGGCACAACCTGAGAAACGCACTTGGAGCGCCACCGCGAAAAAACTTCCTCCGCAGTGCGACCTTTTCTTTTGTGAAAACTAATTTTCTCTTCCGGCTGCCGCGTGGCTCCGGTTAAGATCCCCGACTCAAATCCCGGGGCTCATCGCCGAGCACGGCAAAGCGACCGAGGATTTTCAAATTCCGCTCGCCAGGTGCGATTCCCGGAGGTCACGCGGACACGCTGGGCAAGCGGTGGGGGGGGGGGGGGGGGGGGGGGGGGGAGGGGGGCTGGAGGGGGGGGACCCTGCCCGCCACGTGGACGTGGGAATTGAAAGCGTGGCGAACTCACTGAGAGGCGCGTAAAAAAAAAAACGGGGGGCGCGTAGCCATTTCGGTTCCCGGCTGCGGGTGGAAAAAGATAGTGGCTGTGTTTCCTCAACGCAGCTGGGGCTGCCGACACACGGAGCTTAGTGGAGATTGGAGATGATTTGGATGTTGACACCCTTCGGCGTGACACGCCGCATCAACACCCTCGCCGGATGTCAAGGGCGACCGGGCGCTGCGGGGGGGGGGGGGGCAGCCCAGATTAGCGGCGTGTGGCGCGCGCTCAGGGCAAGCGGTGCAAGACGGGGCGCTATTATCACAGGCGGCACCGCGCAAAATCTTCCATTTCCTTTCGGCATTCTCATGCTGAGGACCGAGTGCGTCGTGATCCGGCGACTTGATGATCTGTCACGATTCATGGGTCGCGGTACTTTTATTTTTATATATATTTTTTAAATACATTTTATATCCGAACTATGTTCGTCTGCGTTGTCTGTCGCGCCTGTTCACCGTTTGTACTTTCTCACTGGTTTTGCCTCGCTCTGTCTGACTTCTACCATCTCACTTTTTCTGTCTAATTTATCTCGTCTTGTATTTTCCCGTTACATAGATATTGCTCGTCTTGTTTGTGCTGTCTCGTAAGTTTCGGGAGCCGAACGCATCAGATCTAATGTACAGCCTTTTATCAATCCACTACTGGATGAAGGCCATCGCGCATATACAAAGACAAAGATCCCCCACAGAGCCTTAACAGACTGTTGGGCAAAGTGCTGTTAGTAAGCACCTAGGAAGGCCGGCAGGGTACACGAGGGGGGGGGGTGGCCAGCAATAAGCCAGGCCGCCTTTGTCTCTCCAGTGGCGATGTTTACACACTGCACCAGGTACTCATCTGAGGCCGAGTCAACCGAGGGGAGGCCCAGGACCGGTTCAGATAGTCGTCACCGGTGTTTGCCGTGAATGGGAAACGAAATCGCGTCTTCGGAAGTGGCAGCGCAACGCGCTCACCGCTGCACTCCTGCTCCCCATAATCCACTTTCTTTTCTCACGCACATTTCCTTCAACGCACTGCATCGTAAGCGTACGAAAATCGACGTTCAATCGATAAGCCACGTGCATCGTTACGTGGCCAACGAGGGCCGCTTACAAGCGGCGAGCGACGTGCTGCTATGCTGGCAGCTGCCAGACTCTGGTAGGGCCGTGTGGTCCGCGATGGGGTTAGGTAAGTAAATAAATAATGTGCACATGCCTGGGGCTAGCGAGCCGGAACACACAGGAAATTACAGGTAATGCCGTACACCCAGGAGTGGCGGAGTGGGGGCACTGGGGTCAACCCCAGCAAAGCAAAGGCGCTAGTGGAAGAACAGACGAAGTCGGCAGGTTTCCCCATCAGCTGTGCCCATCATAAAAAAAGGAGCGCCGGGCCATGATCGATCCACTGCTGGATTAACGCCCACCCAGAAAAACCCGCCGCATATCCCCCCACGGTGTTGCGATGCTAAAACAATCCTCCCATGGCCAACGTGCCGGCTGATTGAATCGTTCCGTCTCCGTGGTGGACGTACTCTCGCTCTCTGCTGCGTTCCAACTTCGGCTGCTGCTCAGTCGTTACTCTTGCCCATCGGCAATCATCCCTTCGAGCGATGCGTCCTGCCTTATCGCTCAAAACGATGTCGTTAACCTGCGTGTGTACGTATGTATGTTGAACTTTTTGTCGCACCGTACATAGCCAACCGTGCTAATCGGGGGTGGGAACAAACTAAACACAAAAAGCAGCTGTAAAGAAATTAGTTTTCAATCTAGATTTAAAATTGTATAGCTCCACCGGCTTTCTAACACGTATCCTAATCCACTGCATTAACTAATTCGAACACTTTTGTTTGACAGTGGTTTGTAATTATTGTGTGTGACAAATACACATACGACTTTTAGTTGAATGCAGCTTCTATAAAGCTCCTAATAGCTGCTGAGAATTACATTTCACGTGTTTGTTTTGTTTTTTTGAGATACTTCTATTCGGCGAGGGTGATGATCGTAGTTTATCCAAACTAAGGACGTGCCTCGTTCATCACCCGTGTACAAATTATTTGGCTAATTGTAAAAGAGTGTCGCTCTCCTTTCGCATCACCGTACACTACGTATGTGGCATTGCGGAGCCGCGTGAGATGGTGATAGCTCAAAGAGGGCCCTCGTCCAGCAGTAGATTGATCGTGGATGACGGTAACTGATTTATTATGCGCATGTGAAAATATGCAACTATATCCTTGATACACATATTGAATGGAAATGTCATCGTTTTTAGAAATCAAAACATATCATATTACAATAAGTATTAAAAGCACATGAATGCCAATTTATATTGTCTAAGCTGATTTATTAATGCTACTATTGAAAATGTTGGTGTAATGTAACGCTGTATATGTTTTTTGAGAAAAATATTAAATGGCTCTCGTTTAATTTTTTTAAGTAGAATGCCTCATTCAAAGCGTTAGAGTTTAGGGTCAGGGTGGCTGAATGTAAGAGTAACTATGGCTGTGGTCGTGCAGAACAGTAGTGTCGTGGTTAGCGCACTGCGCTATGAACCTGGTGACCTGCGTTTAATTCCTGCTCACAGCCAACACCAGCGACAATTATCTGAACCAGTTCTGGGCCTCCCCCCTAGGCCGACTTAGCATCAAGTGAGTACCTGGCGCAAAGTGTAAACCCTCACCACTGGGGAGACAAAGGCGGCCGAGGCATGGCGCTGTCCTGCTACGCCGTGCCGGGCTTCAATAGGGTGCTCGCAAACGGCACTTGCCCAAACCATCTGTTAAGGCTATACAGGGGATATTTATCCTTGTGTGTTTTAATCCGACAATGGCTGTGGTTGTGACAAGAGGCTGTAGTTTAATGGCGAGAGCGACTGCGGTTGAACGCGACACTGAAAAAGAGACAGTGTGACCCTGGCTGTGAGGGTGGCCTGTGGTGACGGAACACTCACCGCAAGCGCCACCGCGCTGCACACTGCTCCCAGGTATCCCTGCACGAAGCGCGCCGTCGGCGTTGGCTGTGGTGGACAAAAGGCGCAGAAACGTCGAGGTCACAGAGGCGAGAAATGGAGAAAACAACGTTTTGACTTGCGACCGAATTTGCACGCGCGAGCGCGCTTAAGTGCTTCAACATCGCGGCAATTACAAGTACAGTATCGAAACGACAAGATCCGTGCGATTTAACCAAATGTAACTCCGCGACGGAACATTAACCAACATATTCTCACCAACGCCCAAAAACAATAACAACGTTTGCCGTTGCTGCCGTTGAATTAGAAGAGATGTTTGTGAACGGTGCGGTAATATTAGCAGAGGGTACGACGCTGCATGCCTCCACTATTACGCTCACGTTAGCGAGCAGAGCATTTCCCAGATGCTCGATACATTTACACAATAACAAATTAAACTTTCACAGCCCTTTGACAAATCCGCTGCTGGATGAGGCCTACAGATACAGATGAGGCTTATGGGGTGCCGCAGTGGCGAGATGTTAACTCCCTCGGCTGGTACGCAGGATGTTGTGGGTTCGATCTCCAACCAGACGCCTGTGTTTTCTCCCCGAGGTCGTGTTGATTTTTCTCCGCGTCCTCACATTTTTCCCTCTACATTTGTAAACATGCATTTAAAGTGTTTGACTGCAATACATTTCCACGTGATAAGCCACTTCTCGTTGAAAAACAGCTATATACTGCAGTGGGCCTTACCTGGTAAATAAAAAAAATGTTTAGTTGAAAGTTTAGATAGGATGATAAAAATTATTATTTCTGGATGTACATTATTCTTTTTTGTTACAATTAATATACCTAATAACCCTCCACAGCTTAAACAACAACAACAACAACAAAAAGTCAACGTGCTCGTCGATAACAACGCGGCCTTAAAAGGGGCAAATAAAAATCACGTGGGCGACATTTTTGGGCTTTGGGCCGTCTTCTTCACAGCACACGGCGGTGTGGGTGTGGGGGGAGCAGGAGGAGACGGTGAGGCAATGTCCTTACGCTCGTGGTGCGTCCGTTAAATTGTCCTTTGTCGGACTCGAATGACTTGCGATGACTGCAAATTCACCGATATCACCGAGGGGCGGCCGGTGTAAAAAACAAAGGAATGCGGCAAGCGCGTAATAAAACGCCGAACAAAAAAACACCGTTCGAAACTTAAAATAAGAAGGGATACTTTAAGTGTAAGCGTATGACATGCTGATGTAACTCTTAGGCCAATGAAGCAGAATAAAAGTATACAATTCAAGGCAAGAACAATACAAAAACACTGTTCAATCGAATAACAGGCCCGGATCGTGACGATTAGTCGAATCGATGCCAGGGGGAGGGTGGTTCATTCTTAGGTAGCAGCCAGTGACCCTATCGGGTGGACATGGGGGTGCTGTTTGGATGCGGCAGGGGATAGGAGGGCAGTGAGGTGGGCTTGGCACCGCCGACAGCTTTCATGGACCCGACTTTGATGTCTCCCGAGGCCGGCCAGGGAGGTAATGGATATCCCGGAGGCATTTCCTCCCAAAACAGGTGGGGGCATCGCCATCCCTCGTATCATCTGCCGCGAGGTCCTGACACGGAGAGCTCGCGCGCCGCGGCCGGAAAGAGCAGCAACGATGGCCCTGCGGTAAAGAACACTGGGCGTTGTTGTTTGTTGGCCAGCGAAACGAGGCTTTAGGGCCGGGATTAGTCACCTGAACCTGGGAGCCCGAGAAAGAGCGAGACAGCGAGCGGAGTGAGCAAGGGACAAAGCGCTACTTCGGCGTTTGCGTGCGAGCGTCGCTCGTTTTTATTATTGTTCTCGCGCGGCAATGCGCACAAAAACCAATTAGGGCGAAAACAATTTGAGCTCGAGCGCCGGTTTCCCACTTTAATTGGCGGCGCTACTCGGAAACATCGACGTGTTTTGAAGTGCGGCGTACACGTCCCCCCCCCCACCCCCACCGCCTTGCAAGAAGCGAGCGGGGGGGGGGGACGCGGGCGTGCTGCTCACGGCCGCCGAAATCACGCGGCCCGCGATCGAGCGCTCGCCGTTGTAATGAGAACGTGCACATCACGCACCACGAAGGGGCACCCCCTCCACCTCCCCCCCATCCCTCCCCTCCATCCCTCCATCCTTCCCCTCTCTCCATCCTTCCCCTCCCCTCTCCTCCCACCATGCCTCTCCATTGACCCACACCCATCCAACCCTTCCCCAACATCTCGCTAGTCCTATTAAAATTGTAACGTTGCGACCTTCCACCGCTGCCTGTTGACTAATTGTTAACGGTCGGGTTTGTACGAAGGCTGGCGTGTTTTCTCTAAATAGGGACTTTTGTTCCGTGGATTCGCTTCCTGGGGGTTGGCCGGCCTTCCTAATGCATCTGATCACTCGCAAAGCAATTTGGAAAATTGATTTCCAAGCGTCGGAAGTCTACGATGTGCGCTATGAGCAACGGCACTGAAAGGGGAACAACAAGTGAGAATGGGGACTATGTAACGCGCCGGAGATGCGGTACGGGTCACGTTTGAGTCGGTGCGAAGAATTAACGCGTGAGACTGGCTGACTAGTTGGTCAGGATTAGGGGTTAGGATTCGGGGCGAGTGTTTGGTCGACTCTAGTGCTCCACCCCCCCCAAACCACTCGCCTCTCTTTCCCATTTCGATGCACGACCTTTTCATTAGTCCGCCCATTTGTTTTTTAACGTATGTATGCATGTAACATGCATGTATGCATGTAACATGCATGTATGCATGTAACATGCATGTATGCATGTAACATGCATGTATGCATGTAACATGCATGTATGCATGTAACATGCATGTATGCATGTAACATGCATGTATGCATGTAACATGCATGTATGCATGTAACATGCATGTATGCATGTAACATGCATGTATGCATACTAACGTCGACGCACACAGGATCCTCACCTTGCTGGCGTTGCGGTTGGCGTAGTTCACGCACGCGTTGTGACTTTGGTTCAGCCACTGCAAAGCACGGCAACAGGGGGGGGTGGGGGGGGGTGGCGTCGCGGTGACACGGGCTCGGTTACACGTGCGGTGGAACGAGACGTCGCGGTGGCCCACGAGCCGCTGCGGTTACCGCACTGAGCCGCTGACCCTCGACAAGTCAGGAGCCGACAGCAATAGAAGCGGCGTGCACCTGCCGTGAACAAAATGTGCTTATATTTGAGCGAGCGCAGCCAAATCCGGCGGCCGCGGATAATCCAGCGCTAGATGTGCGTGTGAAGATGAACCCAAACAGGACTGCGTCGCCCGCAAAGACTCCTCTCGGTATTTTTTTCGGTGGAGCGGAGTACGACAAACGTTCGTTTTGAATTATTTCAGGAGGGACGGCCCCAATGAGCTTGCAGCTAGCCCCTATTTCATGGGACGTCCTGCGGCGACGGTCGAGATGTTGTACCGCACAGGATCTTGGTTGCAATCATGGTCACAGAGGTGGCGATACACGCAGCGCCAGTATCGGTAGGCTTCTTCGCACGTTATAGGAACAGTGGACCGGTCACAAAATGTAACAACAACACAAAAAACGACTACATTCTTTTCTGAGCAAAAAAACCGGAAGGAAAAAAAGTTTCATCTCACAAAGGGAATTAGAAATAATAGCAAGTAATGCTGTAAGGGGATGTTCGTGAAAACAATGCTCGGAACTAAATGTTTTAGAGAAACCAAACATACCTGCCAAAAAACCGTGGTGGCGAGCGTCTGATTGGGGAGTAGGAGGCCAACAACCTGTTGATGAGAGGACACGGTTCTCCAGTTGTTTTGAAGAGCGAACACGCAGCCCATGCAGCGGTAAACAACACCCATGGCACACGACATCACCAGTTGTTACTGCATTGACAATGCACAATGTCTACACACCTCAAATAATAAAACCATCACATGGTACGACGATTTATGAGTTGCAGGACGCATTGCCTCCACGTCAGGTTTCGGGAGGCCTTTATCCAGCAGTGGCTTGGTCATGGCTGCTGCTGCTGATGATGACGACGATAAGCAATGTGAATGATAGAGGGAGAGAGAAAAGTTTTTTGTTGAACTCGAGTACCACCCACCTTGCGGTGAGAATTAACGTGACTGTTGCCATGCTTTACCGTAGGGCGTGCAACAATGCTCCAATTCGCCGATTCACGGAGAAATATTGATCCGTCAATTAATATTGATCCTACATGCTTCAAGTCACACGTGTAAAAATATATTTTTTTATTCGTATCGTGGTTCACACGTTGCACTGTAAACAATACATTTAGTTCCGGGCCACAGCTAACATCAGTGGCAAAATGATATCCAAACTGGTCTCGGGCACCTTGGGCTCCCTCCACCAACCCGCATTGACCAGCGTGGTGAAGTATGGTCAAACAACTTCCACGAAGGACATAGTCCGGGGCAGACCTTCATTCAGTAGTTGATTAAGAGTGATTTAAGAGTAGTTTAAGAGTTGATTAAGAGTTGTAAACCATTACAGACAACAGAGGCTCTGCCATTCACCACATGGTTCACAAAACAACAATGTTCCTGAATTGAATTGTGAGCATTCATTGCATCATAAGAGTGGGGAATTCGGTGTGGGGGGGGGGGGGTGAATTGGGGGGAGGGGAGGACGGGGAGCGGTGGGTGGGGGGTGTAAATCAGTTCACCCCTCCTTTGGGGGGGGCGGGGGCAGTGGGGGTCACAGGTCATTATTAAGTGCCATGTGGGAGCACGCAGAGCCCGGCACCTGTGAGTAAACCCAATAGGCCGCACGTGGCGGCGGCCAGACACGTTCTCATCATCGCCATCGTCAGCCAGCAGCGATCCACTGCTGGATAAAGGCCTCCCCAAGACCTGCGCGATCTCTCCCCGCCCTGCAGTGCAATTATATAAATAAAGACCACCTTGCGCCCGCATACGGGGCCCATTTCAGTCGCTCCACCTCCTTTGTGGCCATTCTCTCTCTCGTGTGTGCTCCCTCCTTTGGCTGCCACTCAGTTCCTATTCTTGCCCAGCGACGCGTCCTGCCCAAGGCAACATACTTTTCAAAAATGACGTCTTTAACGGTCGACGTCGTCTCGAATGCATTCCATCCTTTGGCCAAAACTCCGTTTTATTTTTTTATTTTTCGAGCACTGGACAACTATCCCTCCTAGCCCTGACGTGTGCTGTCCAAGTCCACTTAATATTCTTTAACAAAAGCTATGCCGCCTTTGGCCTGCGTACGTTTTCGAACGCGTGTGTTGAAAGCACCAACTGTGGCACTTTCAAGACGTGACGAGAAACCCAACGGATGGGAAAATATGAATGCATTCAAGGAAGAGATGAATCCACCTTAGCAGCCGAACCGACATTCACTAGGTGCATAGGTGCATGGAGGCCTTGAAGGAAAGGATTGGTGGGGTGTTGGCAAAGTAACTGGGCTATGTGAGACCGCGCTTACCCACATGTGTTAAGTTTCCTGGGAAAATACGATCGTGCGGATATCCAATTATTCGGAAATATGCTTCGCCGTATGATTTATCGCCTGTGTTTTAGAGCAATTCTTTTTCTGTCTTCCGAAAATTGTGATTTGCAAGCGCGCCGCAATTGACATATGGTATTAGAATGCTTATTGCGCCCCAATTTAGGGTTTAATTTCAGAAAGCTATAATTAAAATAAAACTTTCGAGATAAAGCTCATTAAAACGTTTGTGAACGAATAGCAAATTGGAATTAGATGACAGATGTCAAAAAACACAAAAATGTGGTGCACGGCAAGGTTCAGGATTTTTTTTTCGTCACAAAAGGAGAAACATCACTCGCTCGTTGTTCATGCTTCCAATGGTGCCCACTCCTTTTTACGAACAAGGTAAATATTTTCGCGAGGAAAAAAATCACCTGGGTTTGCGCTGCTAAATCTGCCGGGTTTTAAACGGACCATTGTAAGAAGAAATGACGGCAAAAACAGCAAAACGGCGCGTTAAATTAGCCGCCCCAAATTAGACGAAGTAAGATTCTGGGTGATCATTAAAAAGACAACAGAAATAAATATATAATATACCCGATGTGTATATTTAAAATTGGATGAGGTGACGTTATTGAAAATGTTAATTGCAGATTTTTACACAGACTTTACCGCTTCTTTTTAAAGTGTTTTTTTCCTCTCTCTCGTAATGGGGAAAAAAATAATTTTGCGCACTTATATCGTACGTACATTTCAACATCTATAATTATTACCATTATAATGTACAGCCCCTTTGTAAAATCAACCTTGCCTGATGAAGGCCTCCCGACGCTGGGCTCACCATGAGGGTTGTCTGGGACCTACGTCGCCAACACCCGGGGAGCACGGGTTGAAAAAGTGCGGCGACGCAAGCGGTTCGGAAATCGCTCGCCACCGACGCCAGCCATGGGCGGCATTCGGTTCAGGTCGCTGGGTTCGTAGCGCAATTCGCTGGACCACTGTGCCACCCCAAAGCCAAAGATCCCTCCCACCTCCCCCCGGCCACATAGCCTTCAGCGCACGTGGCATGGACCAACAAACGCACACCCCCGGTTATCTTTGACTGCCCCAGTGCTGATATTTACACACCGCACCAGGTACTCATTTAAGGCTGAGTCGACCCAGGGGATGCCTAAGACAGAATTCTTGTAATTGCCATTGAAGTTGGCCATGAGTAGGAATTGATCTCACGTCATCAGGTGCCGTGCGATAACCAACACATGACGCGCGAGCACGCACGCACGCACGCAATCTCACACACTCCTACACGTCAGGCAATTCCCACAAGTTGTCTCCATTTAAAGGATTATTTGAAGCCCGTTGCTTGTTACTAAGTACCTGACATTCTAAGAGTCCTACACCGTGCGGCTTAGAGACTGTATCCTCATCGCGCACATTCACCAAGTTAAACGCGGTCCTTCTCCTACCTGGGAAACAGGGCGCCACTGACACACGTAAATGGGCAATTTGTATCCAATAACCCTACAATATTGTTCCACGGAATTCTCCATAATGGCAGTCATGTGCCACCCGTCAAAGGTTTAGCTCATGTTGATCTTGGGTCATCCACCAAAAATTCAGATGTTAAGATAACACCGGGGGCTGCTAAAAAAAAAAACCCCACTCCCGGCAGTAGCGCGGCGACACGGAGTGGATCTGCGGCGCACATTTCTGCTGGAGCAGCAAGCCGCCCCCGCGAGGAGCCCCCCGCGAGGAGCCCCCGTCGGCGACCGGACACGGTGGGGGGCTTACGCTCGCGCCATTCGAAGCCAATAAATAGTGCCGGGCTTGGGTGTAAAACATTTTTTTTTACTCTGCCAAAAATTGGCTTAGCGGGGGGGGGGGGGGGTGGCTGGGCGAGCGAGCGGTGCTCAGCTGTGTGGGCTAATCAGGAGGCCTGCGGCAGTGGCGGCGCGAGAGCCGAACGGGCGTGAGCGCGCCCGCTGTTAACACCGCACACGTGGGCTGCCCTTCGTCTGCCCCCCGTTTAACCACAAACATGTGGGGTGGGGGGGGGGCACTGCCAACCCACCCAACGCCTCCCCCCCCCCACCACCACCACCGTCGTCCCCCGCCACCCACCGCCAACACAAATTTGCCACATTCCACCTAACAACCTCCCCTCGACGTCAGTGTCAGATCCACACAGGAGCCAGCGTTCGTTTTTTCTGGCAAGATTCAAAGCAGGGATGAGCCTGTGCTTTAGGGTTTTGCTCTTTGTGTCACGGTTAATAATAATTATTATTATATTTTCATTTCATATAGCGTCATTCATGCCGACAGCATCCCACAGCGCTGTACATTCATTATATAAGGACCAAATCACATATACGCGGTTGGCTACGTACGGCGTGAAAGAAGCCCAACACACACACACCTATATACCAAGCCAATGAAATCTGTACTACCAATTAGAACTACAACAAAAATACTTTAAAAAATAAGAAATGGTACCAAAACCAAAAGCGCAGGCCCAGAGGCCTCGAGTGCAAGCGGCCAGGGGACTCAGTGTGCCAATGATGTGCAGTGCAGATAAGGGCCGACGTCGTTCTTTAACTGTGTGAGGTTAGGGGAACTCGGGTAAAATAGATGATGGGCGTTCTAAAGGGAGCAAGGGAGAACAAAAAGGACAGAAGAGTCGATGCAAATGTACGCGTTATCGTGTCCATTAGAAGCTTGAGGCCGCTTTGTACTTCGATGGGAGACTGACAGGGAAAATCACGTGCTGTAGACTTGGGCTGAGGTGAGTGGGAGATGGCAGTGTAAGCGTGGATTCCTGAATCAATCGGTGGAGGAGCATTACGTGTAACCCCTAGTTTTGTGTGGCATTTCTCGAGACACGTGACGAATGATCGTTCATGGTACTGGCCAAACATTCTACCGCAGGGACCTCCAGAAAAAGGGTCTTGCGACTCACTGGTGGGTGTTCTGGGTAAAGGGGCATTGTCCCCTGATCACGATGAGGAAGAGAATGGAGGGAGGGGGGGCAGAGACACTTTTCACATATTCGGAAAATGTTACCACTTCAGTGACAGCTCATACAATAGCAGGTTACATTGAAATAACAACACTGCTTTGTTTTGCTCCGAGTAAAATTAAAGAAAGATTTAGACATTCCAGCTGACTGCCCTTCTTCAGTCCACCAGCAATCTTCAGGCCAGACAGCTAAAATGTCAACAACTTCCTCTCCACTCCCGACGAGAGTCAAAGAAAACCCCGTTATTATTTTAAATTATCCGGTTATTCACCCTTTATTTATTGACGGGTAAGCACA